CGGGGCAGGAGCAATGCTGCTCCTTCCCATCCGCCTCTTTTCAGGACTGTCTGTCGGCATCACCGGTTGTCCCTCCCCCCCCGTTAGCCCCTGACCCCCCAGCTCAAGCTGCAGCCACCCCAAAGGATCCAGATGGAAAGGACCCAAAACTCCCCTACCGGCCGCTCTTGTGGCACCTAATCGAAAAATGGCTTTATCAAGGGTCGTTGCCCCCAGGGGACAAGGTTTTAACTATCCCTATTAGGAAAAAAAATGGCAGATGGGAAGTCGGCCTCTCCCTGGCGGAAGAAAATGACTACTCTCTCGGCAGGGGACCGCTCACGCTGCATGGCTGGAGGCTGCAACAAGACACGGAAGGGCAGTGCAGTTTCAAGCTTAAGGAGGCAAAGGAATTTATCAGTGCACATTATGAAGCGGGGGCAAAAGTCATGATTTGAGTGGGGTTGGACTCCTGTAGAATCGCGGATAATGACCTATATATTCTTTTTGATGAAAAGATCGAGGCAGATTTTACCTAGGTGTCACACAATGCGTTATTAGAATTGCAACATCTTAAAATCAAACCCAGTCATATCTGGCCTTATACGAAAATAATCACCGCCTTGTGCTCCATTGTTCGGAAGAATATAATCAACGAAGGGGTCGCGTGGGATCATCAAATGTGGCAACTACCTATAGGACAAAAAACAGGGGAAACGGTCTTGACACTAGGAGAATGCAATGGATTGAAGCATTATGCAGCCGCAATAAGTTATGGCACAACACTCTTCGTAATGCAGACCTAGACCTCAGGTCCGTTAATGTAAACGGTATGGCCACACTTTGTCCGGACAAATCCCAGGCCATACGGGACCTTCTTTGGGGGGTGGAGGGACGAAGTTGGCCAGACGTGGTCTGCGTCCAGGAAACGCACCTGACTGATTCCCTTGATCACAACAGAGCACATAAGGCGGTTTGGCCATACCAGGTCTACAAGGCGCATGCACCGCGGTCAGCGAGTGTGGGGACAACAATCTGGATTCCCCTAGAGTCCCGCCTAGAGATCTTATACCATGAAAGGGACATGGAGGAGGGTCGTTGGGTTTCAGTACTGGGGGCACTACAATTAGAGGTTGTCTTTATTTTTTGCATCTACGCCCCCAACGCTGTAGAGGAACGCAAGAAATTCTTTCAAAAAATTCAAACGAAAATGCCGCAAGGCATTCCCATCGTTCTCGCCAGGGATTTTAACGCAGCCCTTGACCGTTGGTTAGACCGCTGGCAAGTCCCCCTTGCCTCCAGGCATCAGGCAGAGGAAGACAAAGGCATGCTTAACTGTTTGTGCAGTTCTCTCTCCTTTTTTGATACTTTCCGCCGCTCCTTTCCTACGGAACGGGCCTTTACGTGTAACAAGGTTCTCCAAATCAAGGATTGATCTGATTCTCATCTCAGAAGACCTGGCGGGCAGTTTCACACTCACAACAATCCTCCCATCCAACCCTTATCTTGGTCTGGATCACAAAATGTGCATGATAGCGCTGACCATTCGAAAGAGGCCGGACCAAGGTCTGGGCTTCTATAAACTAAATACCTCTTTGCTCCATCGGGCCCCGGGGAGCAATCCTCCCGCCCGCCCGACGCCTGCCTGTGCCCCGAACAGGTGGTCGGACAGGCCCATGGCAGCAGCAGTGGCGACGACTTTGCACCTTCGTATTGATGTACCAGCTCTGATTTGTCGTTGTCCGGGTTGACAACCCCCTTCTCTTCCGGGTAGGGGGTCGGTCTTGTTGAAACGACACCATATTGTAGAACTCTCGGTGAACGAATATCTTGGCCCTCACAACGATGAAGAGCGCAACGAAATGCGATACTCAATGTGAATTGCCGAAATATGTGAGCCATCGATACCTTGAACGCACGTGGCGCCCAAGGCTTCTATCGAGGGCATGCCCGCCTGAACATCATTGGATTCCTCTCGACCCCAGCACCTTCCAGTTCGAAGAGTGGTGGGCTCCGTGGTCGTGGTTTCCCTCCCTTCCCAATCAATCAATCACTCCGTTGAGATCGACGGATTGATTGATTGATTGATTGATTGATTGATTAATTGATGGATTGATTGATTGATTGATTGAATGAATGAGGCGTCCTACCCGCCTCCTCCTCCATCACCCGCCTCCAATCAATCAATCAATCAATTAATCAATCAATCCATCAATCCATCAATCTACTTCTTCTTCTTCTTCTTCTTCTTCTTCTTCTTCTTCTTCTTCTTCTTCTTCTTCTCCCTATTCTTCTTCTTCATATTCTTTTTCTTTTTCTTCTTCTTCTTCTTCTTCTTCTTCTTCTTCTTCTTCTTCTTCTTCTTCTTCCGCCCGCCTCCTCATCCGCCTTGCTCCGCCCGCCTCCGCCCGCTACCTCCTCCGCCCGCCTCTGCCTGCCACCTCCTCCGCCCGCCTCCGCCTGCCTCCGCCCGTCTTCGCCCGCCTCCGTCCGCCTCCGCCCGCCTCCTCCTTCGTCGTCCTCTGCCCCATACAATCAATCAATCAATCAATCAATCAATCAATCAATCAATCCATCGAGGATTGATTGACTGATTGATTGATTGATTGATTGATTGATTGATTGATTGATTGATTGATTGAGGCGTCCTACCCACCTCCTCCGCCATCACCCGCCTTCAATCAATCAATCAATCAATCAGTCAATCAATCAATCAATCTACTTCTTCTTCAGCCCGCCTCCTCCTCTGCCCGCCTCCGCCTGCCTCCGCCCGCCACCTCCTCCGC